CTTGACTCGAGAATCGGACCCGAGGTCGTCCATGAGGTAGTTTTGCTACCAAATTTACTAAAGTCTTTATCGAACTATTACAACACTAAATACCAATACGAAAAAGAACACATTTCACATTTGAAACTACAAAAATTACGACCCGTAAAATTATTGATAGAAAAATTGCTATCGTTCAATTTAATTGGATAGTTGCATGTTCTTGTCAACTTTTAGCAAGGTCGTGGTTTACGGAAACTAGTTTCTTTGGAATGTCTACATTAAGGTGATAAATCAAATAGTCTGCCATCTTTTACCTGATCGTGTTTAAAAGCATCAAAGATATTTACGATACGATCATTAGATAATAAAAAAACTGGCTTCGTCAGTGAATTCTGCGTTGATTTATTGCCAATTATTTATATTATTGAAGTTTTTTTTTCATAGTTTAGAATTATAAACAGAGATAGAACATTTATTGGCACAATAAAGCCAATATCGATACATTTTAACGAGACCTATAATCGTAAATGTCTGAGAATTTTAAGTGGACAGAAATTTGGAGATATGTGTCTTTTTGTGTATCTATTTTTGGATATGTTGCTAAGTAAGTGAGTAAAATTGTACGTAATCATTATTATTATTATTTATCTTTATTTATTTAGAGGCTTTTTTCCCTTTCAAAGGTATGTCAGCCTCATCCATATCTTAATCTAACTTAACTCGTTGAGTACCGTCATTATAGACACAATTAAAGAACAATAGGTTGCGGTCACCGGTGACCGCTCGGTGTTCGGCAGTTTAAATAATATAACATAACATAACATTACGCCTTTTATCCCCGAAGGGATAGGCAGAGGTGCACATTATGCCACTGTACAAGGTAACACCCACTTTTCACTTTTTTTGTTATGAGCCCCATGTAATAGGGGGTGAGCCTATTGCCATATACCGGGCACAATTCCATACTCCGTGCTACTACTGAGGTTTTTACAAACCCAGTAGTAGCACGGCACCCAGGCAGCCAGCCAGCCAGTAAGATAAGTTAGTAATAAGTGTATAAATTATACCCTTCAGAAAATACAGAGTCTGGCAAAGAATTCCACTCTTTTGCAGTACGCACAAGGAAGCTTAAAGCGAAGCGCTTCGTGTGTGTGGGTGGGACTTCTACCCTAACATGAATCGGTGACGCTTCGCCGATTGTCTTGTGTTACGATTATGGAAAGTACTAGTGGGAATCAAATTAATATAATTATGTGATTAAGCTGAAAAGATAATAATTAGTTTCGTACGTCTCACGAAAGTTATAATCCTTACTAATATTATAAATCGGAAAGTGAGTTTGTTTGTTTATTTGTTTGTTCCGCTTTCACGCCGTAACTTCTAAACCGATTGCTTTGAATTTTTGCAGACGTAAAGTTAGAAGTTGGGATTAAATAATAGGATACTTTTTATCCCGGAAAAATTGATATTCCCGAGGGAAAACAAAAGAATTGGTGTAGATGGCGCTGTGTGTATTGGTATATGTAACATAGGCTACTTTTTCTTTTGTGACGCGAGCAAAGCCGCGGGTAAAAGCTAGTAGGTATAATATAAATTCTACAAGTTTTTTTATACTTATGAATTTTAGACATTGTTACTCTTCTGTAAACACTCTTTATCATATATTATAGTAATGCGAGACATCCTAATAGATCAGGTCCTCAAAGTGCAACACGTGACCAATAAAAATTACTTAATTATAGTACTCAATTTTAAACCTTATCACCTAAGCAATAAAGATTGAGAACACATCGTCATATCAAAATGATGTCCAACTTAGCTTCGGCGCCGGTTGACCTCATGACCTCCGTTTACGAGTCAGAATAACCTTCTATACTTATAATTTTACGTATAAATATATACTTTATCAATGACATACACATATTTTTAAAGCGGATTAAGCCAGATATCAGAGAAATATTTGTGGTTTTTTTTTCTTTTTATGTTCATCCGAAAGTAAGTTTGCACATAGGAGCTGTAAACGTTAGATTGCTACAACTTACCCGTTCTGTCGTTTACATTATTGTGTAAGTGGTTTTTTTTATGGCATAAGCCGGTAAACGAGCAGATGGATCACATGATGGTAAGAAATCGGCGTCGCCCATGGACACCTGAAACACCAGAGGCGTTACAAGTGCGTTACCGGCCTTTTGGGGATTAGGAGTTTGAGGATCGTTGGGGATTCAGGAATTGGGGAGATTGGGGAAGGGGAGGGTAATTGGGCCTCCGGTAACCTCACTTACACGATGAAACACAACGCAAGCGTTACTTCACGTCGGTTTTCTGTGAGGCCGTAGTATCACTTCGGTCGAGCCGGCCCATTCGTGCCGAAGCATGGCTCTCCCACACTTTACTACACTTTAGTACTTTCTCACTACTGTACATGTTGATAATAGAAACTGCACTTCTTTAGCAATTGACGGTGATGATGACTAGGCAACAGTTTCATGTAAATTCCCCCAATGCCTAATCCCTAAATCCCCACATAGGCCCGATCTTCACCGTACAATCCAAAATCCCTACACTTGATGCGTTTAACCAGTTTTACTATCAGACAGGAACTGCATTATATGCAATTGGGCAAGGGTTTGTCCTAAAACTGGGAACGCAACCAGCCACTACAGGAGAAAATCCTAATGTGGGGAACCTTATTTAGAAGAAAAATACATAGTGTTCATGGAAATTAACATCTAACATTCATAACATCGACGGGAAATGGTGGGTGGACGCCAACAGGCGTGTTTTAATAAGGTAGATGACGTAAACAGGTAAACTTACCCTTCAATACTTATTGTATGGTTTAACCTGACCTCAACACCCTTCGGGTTTGTGTAATTTTGTCTTCGATTTTGAATTTGCGTTAAAAATTTTGTCAATGTGTTATAAGTCTCTTTTTATAACATAGTTTTAAGAATAACATAAATTAGGCATCCTTTTTCAAAAATAATGGAACCTGTTTTTTGGACTACTAAGAAAATAACGTTTTTTATCCCCGAAGGGGTAGGCAGAAGTGCACGTTTGTACGTGCAAAACTTTAAGAAAAGAGTGTACTCCTCTTTATAAGGCCGGCAACGCATCTGACTACTCTGCTGTTGCGGGTGTCCATGGGCGGCGCTGATCGCGTACCATCAGTGATCCGTCTGCTCGTTCGCCCCCTATTACATAAAAAAAAACCTTACGGCAGTTAATGCCACTGTACAATGTGACACCTACTATTCATTATTTATGTTATAAGTCCCATCTAACAGGGGGTGAGCCTATTGCCATATACCGGACATAATTCCACGCTCCGTGTTATTATTGAGATTTTTTAAAACCCAATCGTACTTTGCCTGACCCGGGAATCGAACCCGAGATCCCTTGCCCGGCAGTCGTACTTGCGACTACACGGCAAACGAGGCTTTCTTGGTTAAGCTTGCAATTATTTTACCACCACGTTATATTTTATTAAATAAGCGGTAGGTTCAACACATCATCAACATCATATCGGCTATAAAACCTCCCCGAAGACTTCCAAATCGGCTGGTTACAAACAACAAAGAAAGCTTGAACTTTGAAATATTGGTACATAGTTTGATCTAAACTTTTCATCATAAACTCCATCTGGCGAGTTGCCCGAGAGAGCGTGGCTTGCACTCACACTTCATTCGAACACATACATTATCAAACATTGCGACGCGACACCACAAACGAGCATGACAAATGACTTCACCATTTCCATAAAATCATAAAAAAATTGCTAACCTGACTCACTTTTACATCTAAGATATATTTTGTAGGAATAACCCAAAGAAATTCCAATACACCTTTCCAATTTGTGGTCGAGAATTCGCGCGCACTTTCGCAGAATGTTATGTCATGGTGTCAGCTTAAAATGTTAAAGTAGAGGTCACCACCAAGAATGTGGTAATACATGGTCAATAAAAACAACAAAAAATTACGTCTTCGCGAAAGAATTAAAAAAATAACTAGATAATAGCGTCTCCGTTTAGTAAAAATACTTCACGGATCTATGATAATATTTTTGGAAATAAAAAAGTTTGTTTACATTTAAAATGATGAATCACGTGTAAATCCCAGGCAGGCATTCCGATAGCGCTCGCGACCTTCGTAAGGCTATCTACACACCTTGCGACTAAGAATTTTATACTCAAAATAAAGACGTTTTGGTTGCGTATAGATTTATGCCTTAAATATTTATTGTCCGTAATTTGCTTTGTTTTTTTAAGGTCTATATCTCTCTTTTCATTAATGTCGTTTCTTAACATGTAATTAATATAAGTTTGTAGGTGCATTCAGTAGAGGAAAGATCGATAAATCTTTAACAAACATCTAAAGTTATTACAGAAGACCACATACCAGGAGATGTTTTAAGTACTGTTCACTGATATTAGTGTTAGGTCAGTTAGATTGACTCGCCACCCGACCAGAACCAGGGCTGAGCGTACGGCGCGTCGCGTTCCGTGCGCGCCTCAAGGAGCCATCATACCACCACAGATGGGGCCCAACAGGGCTGATGCCGATACGGAGCCGCGGAAGACTTAACGGGTTGCCGGGGCTCCGGCTCGAAGTGCAGGAGTAGGAACGGGGTGGTTTTTAGTCAGTAAGAGTCTGACACTCCCTCTCGCCTCACCCGGGTGGGGGAAGTCATTGGATGATCCCGCAAAAAAAGGTCAGTTAGCTTATAACAGTAGTTAAATGGGTTACTTGGTTATCTCAAAGACAAAACGATCGAATTGCGTGATACATCTGAAGTCGCAAGTGTGTAATCAGTTGTTTTGGAACAAAAACAAGATCACGGCCGGCGGGTGGTCATTCGGATTCTCGTACAGCTCGAAACTACACTTAAATAGCGGTGCGATATTCTTACAAAACACGTGAAGTTAATATTTAAAAATACCTTACTTTTAATTTAAATAACTTCAAAGTTCCATTTGAGTGGAGTATTTTGATAGTAGTTGTTACTGTTGGACTTTAAAATGGTGTCGAAGATTTTTATTGTTGCCTTGATTGTTGGGACCGCTAGTGCAGCGACGTGGATGGGCATGCCTCCTAAGAAACCTGCAGGACTAGGTGAGTTAATTTTGCGTTTTGTTGTGTCAGAAGACTCTTTGACCTTCTTTGCGAATCCTTATGTCAGAAGACTCTTTTGCTGAAGACCTTCTTTGCTGAAGTGTTTAAATCCTGAAGTGTTAGGTTTGAAACTTCAACTGTTATGTTTTGGTGCAAACTTCAAATTAATGTTGGGTTGTTAATATTTCGTATGACCCTGTATAATATTTGGATCTTACAAGAACATACTTAAAGTCATAAAGAATAAACTTCAATTTTGTATATAACATGTTGTGGTTTAGTAAAGTGTAATAACTATAATAATTTTAAATGTAAACTAACCGAACTAAACGCTGCAATTGCAATAAGATATCGCAGTACCTACTAGATTTTTTTTGTATAGATTAGTATTTTACTATGCTATCAAATGTTTGTACCTGACGGACACTTCAGTTTTTCTTTCTCTAGTAACATATATGTTATGTATACACTATCGACTAGCAGTTAATTAGCCGCCCAACTAATAACTTTACCTGGTTAATAAATTGAATTGTTTAACAATTGGGTAGTTTCCAGGGTATAAAAATTAGTCCGTCAGTTAGATAATGAAAAAATATTAGATACGTATATTTTATTTTCTCGTATTAAGTTGCAATACTTAGATAAAATGGCGCTAAAGTTAGGAATGGAATGGGATACGTCATAACGTGCTATAAAATGGGGCACGCTGTGACGTCACACGATATATCAAATTAATATATCGTCGAAAGTATTTAATTTTGATAGAAAAGACAAACTACGTGTCTAAAGTTTTAAATTAATGTACCAGACGGACATTAAAATAACATTTAGGAAACTACCCTCGTAACTCGAAATCTTTTGGGGCTTCAGGTTGATTGTAACTAAACCTACCATTATAATATTTTAAATCTTCAAGTAAAGACCGGAATAAAACATTTAGCCATTCAACCAATTGGCTAGGTATTGGTCGTTCAGGCTACAAGTTGAACTGTTATTGTAATTGCCTGCAACATAGACATAATATTAACAACATAGTTTAAACAATCGTCAACTTTAAATACAGATGTTTATAGATTACTTTCATTTAACAAACATGATATCCTTAAATACAGTTTGATACATATTTTTTTATTTGTTTCAGCTCACAAAAGTGGTTGTTATGTAGAAGAAATCAATGACGTTATTCCTTTTGGTGACACAGTGTCTCCTATTGGCGTATGTTACAGCATTTCTTGTGGAAGCGTGATGGACTATGCATCGTAAGTACTCCATACTCATCTATAACTCCTCTTATACTTCATCCTACTATATTTTGAATTGAGAAAAGGATACTTGAATATGCTTTTACACAACGTTTATCGGAATTCATCAATTTGAGTTTCAGTAGTGTAAGCTAAATTAGGCATAAACAATGAACTAATGTACGGTATCCAGCGCAGGTCAACCTATCATTTTCTGTTTTTCTCTTTTACGTTTTCAACTATATAACATTGATATAAAGTCGAAAATCCAACGAACAATTTTGACAGATATGAAGTAGGTTCATCTGCAGGTTTAATATTTTCTACAAGCTTTGCAACTATTAGCTGTTACCTTCTAAAATCGTTTTTTTTCTTTCAGATGCGGCACAGTCGCGACTGATGATCCCAACTGCCACGTGACAGACGAAGACTTAAGTAAACCCTACCCGCACTGCTGTCCAGACATCAAGTGTGATATTGACAACAATTTATTTTAGACTTAATCGTTTCTAAGTTTAGGTTTAGTTTCCAACCGTGTTAGAATCTTGGCGTTATCAGTTTGTGAACGGTGAATAAAGGAAGATTGTGAATTTATGAAATTGTTATGTGCCATATTTTTAATTTAATCAGTTATAAAGGCAAAGGTACACTAAGGGACAAATGCCCGACACGTGTCGCCAGTGACATTGGGTGAAGGAGTGCGACGTTGACGGACTTTGTTCAACATGTCTGGCAACAACAACGTCTCTGTGGACATAAATAAGTCGCGCGTTGTCACCGTGTATGTCAGGCGACATCGGCTTTGCTCAAGTATTTTGTCCCTTGGTGTATCCTTGGCTTTATATATTTGATGGTAATGTTTGAAGTAGATTTAAGGTAAGCTTTTGAAAATACATAGAAAATTATTTTCAAAGAAGTGACGTATATGAATTTGTTTCTAAAAAACGCCATGATTTTAACAGGGATATATCTAGAGTCATTGTACTATGACGAATAGATGGAGTTCCTTTTCAAAGAGTTTTAAACTCTAGAAGCTATCTTGCCACCAAATTGTTAATTTAATTTGTTTTTTATTGAATTAGAAATTAATATAAAACTTGTTTGGGTTTTATTTTAAATCTTTCCTCTGTTTTATTATTAACTTGGTGTTGTTCGAGACTTCGTCCGCGTAGAATATGAATTTTAGAACATAACGTTTTTTGGTTTAATTTTCCAAAATAAGAGCAGCCTGTATTACTCCTTAGTGCATCAACTACCTGCCAATATAAGTCTAGCAAAATCGGTCCAGCCATTCCAGAGATTAGCCAGTACAAACACACAGAACGACAATACAATATTTATACATATGCATGTAATAAAAAGCGGTAATTTTAATATTACTAACCGAACAGACACTCCCAATTTCATTTATGTGTATAGATTCTACCAACTTGCCTTTAAGGTAGTTAAAGTTAAAGCTGAATGTCACGAAACCGACTAAATATGTGATACAGTAGGCTTATGAATCGTGTATTCTGGTAGCATACAGATTGCATAGTATACAGGCAGTGGTAGAAAAGGAATAATGTCATTGTAACATAACATAACATCACGCCTTTTATCCCCGAAAGGGTAGGCAGTACGGCACTTAATGCCACTGTACAATGTAACACCCACTTTTCACTATTTATGTTATGAGTCCCATGTAATAGGGGGTGAGCCTATTGCCATTGTAATTGTTCATCCAAGTAGAATGATATTCTCTGAAATCTGTGGCACCTGTGAAATGTTGTATCATAGAAATATGATTCTTAAGTACTTGATTTTTCATAACAATCGACAGTTTGGACAGTTAAAACTGGTTAAAACAAACCTGTTGCTGATCTTGTCCACTGACTTTAGGAACTGTCTTACCGCCGATGAGAAAACGATCACATTATTTTGTCACTCAAGAAACATATAATAGTTTAATGATCAGAAGTGGTCTTCATTAAAAAAAAAAACAATATGGGAGGTACCTACATACGTACATACATAACATCATGCCTTTTATCCCCAAAGGGGTAGGAGAGGTGTATATTACGGCACTTAATGCTATGTATAATGTAACACCGATTGTCTGCAAGGAGTCGATTTCCGGGTCGGGCAAAGTATTGCTGGGTTTTTAAATAAATCTTAGTCGTAGCACGATGGCAATAGGCTCACCCCCTATTACATGGGACTCATAACATAAATAGTGTACAGTGTGGTGTGGGTGCTTCTAAAGTCGATTCGATTTTTTGATTTGGAATCTATCCAGGTTCATTTTCAATGACGTGGTTTCTGGGAGAAGGAATTGGATATCCAAATTGGCCCACTCTAAGCTCATTATCGTCTAGAATTTAGGGAACTCAGTCCTGTCATCCTGTCTGCGCAGTTTCATATTTGATTTATATTAGCGTTAAGACACTACTGCCCATCGCCTACTACAAGACTTTTTTTTAAGGGGGGAAAATCATCGAATGACTGCTCCCGCCTGGGTTGGACTCTTACTGACTAAAAACCACCCGTTGCTTCCCCTGCACGTCGAGCCGGAGCCCTGGTTACCCGTTAGATTCTCCGCGACTCCGAATCGGCTACTATAAGACTTAGCATATTTTTTATACCACACTCACACAGTGAAATCGTAAATATAAGTTATCCTTATCAGTTGTTTTGTTTTGAAACTTAAATAAGATCACGGTTGTCGGGTCGTCATTCAGATCTTTGGGCAGCTGGAAACTGCACTTCGGTGTGTAATTCGAAGTATTTAGAAATATCTTGATATTCAATATTAGGTCACAGTTGGTACTGTTTGTCGGTAAAATGGTGTCGAAGATTTTTATTTTTGCCTTGATTGTTGGGACCGCTAGTGCAGCGACGTGGAGGGCCAGGCTTCCTGACAAACCTTTGGACTTGGGTGAGTGTTTTTTTGTTATTTATTTTGTAGTGGTATTAAATAGAAATTAAGTGACTATAATTGATGATGGAGTTTTTTGCTCGTTCTTCTCCATAGGAATCTACACCTTGGAATGAGCAAATAACTTCACTTTTAATTTTTTTTTGTTGACGTTCAAAAGTGCCTTTCTGATCTAATTGAAATAAATGATTTTGACTTTTGTTTAAGGGTTTCATTTATAAGTTTCTGTGCTATATGGATGTGCTGTTTGTTTAATTTAAATCTTAAGCAATTCCACATAAACTGGAGAGACTGCCTCGTTGGCCGAGTGGTCGCAAGTGCGACTGCTGGGCAAGGGATATCGGGTTCGATTCCCGGGTCGGGCAAAGTATTACCCAAATGTATGGACCCAATATGTCTGAAATAAATTTATTTTATTTTATTTTTATTTATTTATGGGTTTTTAAAAAAATCTCAGTAGTAGCATGGAGTCTGGAAATGTGCCCAGTATATGAATATCATCACTCACACTATTGCCATCAATAAGCTCACCCCCTATTACATGGGACTCATAACATAAATAGTGAAAAGTGGGTGTCACTTCTGTTTGCACAATTAAAATACGTGATGTTATGTTATGTTATTGTCGGTATAGTTACTTTTATTTGGGTAACACCTTAAGCGTATCGATTTAATACAAAAGTATCAATGTGTTAAAAGAAATTAAGTCAGTTTTAAATATGATTTTTTTACAGTTCATAAAAAATGTATCGAAGACTATATAATACGTTTTTTACAGCTTACAAAGAAGGTTGTTACGTAAGAGAAATAGAAGATGTTATTCCCTTTGGCAAGACCATCTCTGCTCCTGGTGCATGTTACCGCATCTCTTGTGGCACAACGCTGATAAACTATGCATCGTAAGTATTCCATTATCTGTCTATATAATAAAACTGTAGAAGTGGAAGTTCTGTACATTGAAAATATTAAAAAGTATATAGTAGGAGGTGTTACTAGACAGACACCGAAACCAAAAACGTGATTAAAATGTGTGATTTTTGCCGCCACAACCTCCCAAAATCGCTGCAACTCCTGTAAGCCAGGATCTACAGTAGATACAATCTTGAAAACACCGGAACACTAAAGTCCGGCGCGTCCCAGAGACATGAGTAACTGTCTTGGTTCTCGCAACGAAGTGAATGAGAAGATATTATAAGAGGAGAAGAAGAAAAAAACTATGGTTTCCACTTCCCTCGGTGAATTACTGCAGGAGACAGAATGAATTAAGCCTAATGTGATTTTTGGTCTGTCTGTCTGTCTCACGCATCACGCAAAACCTACTACTCCGATTACGATGAAACTTGATAGAATTATACTTTAACTAGCTACCTGCCCCGGCTTCGCACGGGAGCAATATGCATGTATTATCCATATAAAACTTCCTTAAGAATCACTCTATCTATTAAAAAAGACCGCACGAAAATGTGTTGCGTAGTTTTAAAGATCTAAGCATACATAGGGATAGACAGAAGGCGGATAGCGCCTTTGTTTTATAGGGGGCGTCCATAAATTACGTGAGATCAAACAGATCAGCCACATTAAATTACCGGGGGTCCGGTTCGAAGTGCAGGAGAAGGAACGGGGTGGTTTTTAATCGGTAAGAGTCTGACACTCCCTCCCGCCTCACCCAGGCGGGAGCCGTCATTCGATGATTTTCCGCCCTTAATAAAAAAAACCGTACAAAGTCACAAATTGGGTTTCGGGTAACCACATTCAGGAAGGCATGCAATCTGTCTAGTCTCTTTTCGATTTAGCTCAAACTAATAGAAGCGGATTGTAAGCGGCTTTTCGACCTGCGACGCACCATGGACTTGTCTTTTGTACCTGTATTTTTGTCTACATGACTGTCGTGGCTAAATGGTTATTCTTACTTTCTTTCTAAATTAACTGTTCAATACCCAAGTAGACTGGTAAAAAGTAGGTGTTACATTGTACAGTGGCATAATGTGCACCTCTGCCTACCCCTTCGGAGATGTCGCGGAGAACCTAACGGGTAACCGGCGACGTGCAGGAGAAGGAACGGGGTGGTTTTTAGTCAGTAAGAGTCTGACACTCCCTTCCGCCTCACCCAGGCGGGAGCAGTCATTCGATGATTTTCCCCCCGTAAAAAAAAAGACTGGTCTCCAGTGACCGCTTTCCATGATCCATTATAGACCTTATTTCCGATGTTTAGAGACTACTTTTGTATGAACAAATTATGGGAATTTTCGGTACGATAAATCAATGTATTATGATGTTTCTTCTTTCAGATGCGGCACAGTCGCGACTGATGATCCTAAATGCTACGTGACTGAGAAAGACTTGAGTAAACCCTACCCAGATTGCTGTCCCACGATCGAGTGTGATGTTGACAACCATTTAGATTAAACTCAGTCGTTACTAGGTGATACTTATAATTGATAACGTATAAATAAAGAAACGTTCTGAATTGATAAAATTGTTTTGAGCCTTATTTTATCGTTACCGGAGGACCAATTACCCTAGTCCCCGTCCCTAGTCCCCATCTCCCGAATCCCCGAATCCTCCACAATCCTCAAATTC